GTGTGTGTGTGTGTGTGTGTGTGTGTGTGTGTGTGTGTGTGTGTGTGTGTGTGTCAGGGAGACACAGAAGGGTCTGTGCTTGTGTTACCCCCTGGTGCATCATAATCCCCCCTGTTTTGTCCTCACAGGGTTGTTCAGGACAAAGGTGTGCTTTTATTGTGGAATAATCATCAAAAAGCTACACTTGTCTTTCTTCCAGGGTTCATTGTGTTGATAGAACACCTCTCAGTGACAGATGTTCTCTTGTCTCAGTCTGCATGTGCACATCTGTCTCTGTGTGTTCATGTGTCACAGAGGCATAGTTAAAGATGGTAATCCTTTAAAAGCATCTAAAACACTGTTCTGGGTTAGTCAGGCACTAATCTCAGCAGCGTAGCTTGGTGAACACTCTGCGTTCTGATTGTTTTTTTCTCCCTCAAGCAGAAGAACTGTGCCTCCTTTCATATAAACTACATATACACAGTAAAAAAAAACAATCATTTATTTTTACACTCAGTTTATTTTCTTAAGGTATGGTGGAGACATGGGTGGAGACCTATGTCGGTCCTTACTTGTCAAGAAGCAGGGTTCAACTTGGACAGGTCACAAGGTCAAGTCAGAGACATGTGTGACAAACCACTGCACACACACAAACACACTCACACATTTAAAGTTCAAATTACAGTCCCTTATTAATCAAATATGCATGCTTATGAACTGTTGGAAGAAGCCAGATGTGAAAATTAGGACATCAACACAAAAAGAATTGAGTTAAGTGTAAATATGTGAACTTTTTTGGAGTGAGAGGACACAACACCCCTGGACCACTCAGAAAGCAAAATTGTGTGAATGTAATTTCAGCAAGTATTATTTACCTGCTTATAATTTCAAACTACATCTAAAAAAAAAACAATCATATGGAACTCAACCTGGAATAGCACGCTATAGCTTTTGGTTTTTGTAACTTTTGGACATCTCAAAATAAAAAATATATATATATTTGTACAAAAATACATAAATATCTCATCAATTCCTAAAAATATTGTTCACTTTGAAATCTGCTTAGCCCACTCACTCTATTTTGTCTTATAAGATACTTTTACGTAGCTTCTGTTCCTCTAAATTAGCCTTCTATTTGCCCCTTTCAGCTTTTAGCTGCAGCTTTGCTAATTTTAGTCTTTAATTACCGTTCTGCTTCATTAAGCAGCAGTTTTGCTAATATTACTTCTTAGCCACAGTTTGGGGAATTTAAGCTTTTATCTGCAATTTTACTCATTTTAATGTTTAGCTATGTTTAGCAAGATGCCTAAAAGCAGCTCTCTTCCAGCATGACCTTCTTGATGTATTCAGCAGTAAAAGCTGATGTGGTGCCCCAACAGGTAAAACAGTGTAGTGACGGGCAGAAACGGTTATCTCCCTTTCTGTTTCTCCCTTTTGTTCTCACTGCATTATATTTGTTAATTTTACATATTAAATTCAGTTAGTAATTAACAATAAAGTTGTTGTTTCAGCTTCTGCAATAAATGCTAGGAAAGTTATTCAGCACTCAGCATTCTGATTACATTTTCACAGAAAATACAGGTCTCTAGTTTTTTTTTTCTTTCCTTTGTTTTTCTCAGAGGAATAATAAAACCCTGTTGTGAGGTACAGTTTTAGGTGAGACTTCTTTCAGTTGTTGTAAATTTGGGTTCTTATGCAAGTTGATTATGAACTTTTGGAAAGTTGTATTTTTTTCTAATGCTCACATCAGAATCTTGCAACAAGTTTGAATATTTATTTGTAGTTCATTTTAAGAGTAAAGAACTCATCCTGGAAGACAGCAACCTGTAACTGTACCCCTCCCTCCTCTTGCTGCAGCCAACAGGAAGTTTTATCTTTTTTTTGGACACTAAGAGTTGCTATCATTTGTTTGCAAAATGTTTTTATTTTTTATGTCCAATATCAACTCTTAGGTTTGCTGCAAACTCAAAAACTCCCCGTGCACACTCTGAAATTCACACAAAGACACACACAGACACACAAAGTACACAATCAAATTATCAATCAAACCACTCGTCTCCATTCCCTTTTACCCATTTATAGTCCTCCACCCCCCCACCTCTTTGACCCAAGACTGATCACCCAGGTAACCGCCAGCACTGAACTCCTCTCAGACATCCTGGCAAGGTGAGAGGATGCCCGCACAAACACACACTCATGCACACACACACACACACACAAACACACACAGGAACACGCACAGAATCCTAACTGTTCCTCTGGACTGGTATTTTACTGCACACAAAAAGAGTTTTCCCCGAGCTTTCATAAACTGGCAACTTTCAGAGCACACACACACACACACACACACACACACACACACACACAC